AACTCAGAATGGTATGAACTGCAGATCTGGAATAAAAATGGTGTCATGAGGTGGTCAGTTGCATTTTCAAAGGAATGCAAGATCTCACACACACACACACATATAACTACATTACATTATAAAAGGAAAGTAAATATTTTGAGTCTGTTCCCAGGAATGAGTTGGGGTTTGTTTCTGTTTTGTTTTGCTGAGCTGTTTAGTCTTTCAGGGGTGTTATCCCCTCTATATTTATATTCAGCTAGCAACACCAAACGTTTTAAAGACAGTCCTGTGTTTTGCCAACAAGTATATTATTTAGTACCAGAGTGGAGATTGCTTTACCTTGGCTGTTCATATCCTAAAATTATTTAACTGGCACCTGGGATGCCTTAAGAGCTTTGCATTTGATTAAATCAGCCAACAACAGTTGATTGCTTCCAAGATCTTAAAATGCCTAAAATACCAGAAGAAAGGTAGTTCTTGTGGTCTTGTGCTTTTACACCAAAAGGCCTTTTTTTATTTATTTCCCATGTACTATTATGAATATAATTAAATGAGATTTACTGAATATCAGAATAATTAAGGAAGAAATTGTTCAGAATGATCATGGAATCACGGAATTGTTGGAGTTGGAAGGGACCTCTAGAGATCATCTAGTCCAACTCCCCTGCTAAAGCAGGGTTGCCCAGAGCACATCACTCAAGGCATTCAGGCAGGGCCTGAAGATCTCCAGAGAAGGGGACTCCATGACCTCCCTGGGCAGCCTGTTCCAGTGGAATCAAAAAGATCACAGGAAGAGTGCTTTGAAAATGACCATTGACTGCCAAATATTTTCTAAACTTCAGTTGAAACGAAAGTTGGAAGCAAATCCTCATTGCCAGCATGACTTGGAAATATTTTTCCAGTTATCATGACAGGATTGGTCACATTCCATATGAAATGCTAGAAATGCATAGTTATAAACGTGATTTTTTTTTCCCCTGTACTGGTATCCAAGCTTTGTTTCACGCTGAAGGCCTTATACTCATGTTGTTTCCATAACAACATGAAATAAAGCACAACTGAAGCTGTTAGTGTAAGGGTATGTGAGAGTGCCTGCTCCTTTAAGGATATTTGCTCAAGGACCTTTTTCAATGCAAAAAGGGAAATAAAAAAAGTAGAAAGCCATAAACAGGAACATACAAGGACAGAAACCTGATGGACAAATGATAAGGGAGGCAGTGGTGAGAACCAAACCTGGTCACTCGCAGTAATTAATAAGGGCATGTGAGAGTGTTTGTTCCAGCAAGGTTGTCTGGTTGCAGACATTGTATATTAAGAAACTAAGGGAAAAAGGTAGAAACTAGAGACAAAGTATACAAAGATACAGAGCTGACAATACAATCATGGAGAACAATGACAAGAAACAGAGCTCACCACTCACACTGATTGTTGGGCTATAGAGAAATTACAGGCACATCTCTGCTGGCAGCCACTGGGGGTTCCAGAGCAGCTACTGGAGCAAGAGTGGGTCTTCAACCTCCAGCCACAGGGACAGGAACGGTGCGTGTCCCCAAAACCAGATGCTGGGGGGACCAACACAAGTGAGATGAGTGAGGAGCTCAGCACCATTGACTGAAGCAAGACTGCAAATTTCAGCCTCACCTAACTGGCAAGTGGGGGATCCTTGGGTCCAGGCAGGATTATCAATTGGGTGGAGGGATCTGTGCTGGTACCCAGGGGACTTGCAAATGAGGAGTATATGAGGGATGAGTTTCTGTTTTGCTTGCAAGCATCAAGCTGGACTAGCCAGCGAGTAGGAGTGTCTGGGATCCGAGCAGGGGGTGCCAGGAGGAAGGAAAGGCCATGCCAGTGCTTGAGAGGTCTGTGTGTCTCTGGAACACGCGCACGGCTTCATTACTGGTTGAACCTGCAGATGGGTAGGTGGCAGCCAGCTCTCTCAGCCTGGGCAGAGATCCCAAGTATGTGGGCGCTGGGCTGAGGGAGGTGGCTGAGTGTACACCACTTAACAGTTTGCATCATTGCTGAGGTATCTGTAAGAGCAAGAAATCAGTCTCAATGCTCAGGATAACCTTAATATAGAGTTAGGGCCCATGTCCTGTTACATGTAATACTAGAATGTCTACCAATTCCACAGAAATCCCTCCCACCTTAGTCTCAGTTACATATTGACCAAAAATTTGATACATCAGTTCACTTTCACAGTATGTATTTAAAGCTTTATACATATTTATAGGTATGAAAAAAAACACACCATTAAAAAAACAACCAAGAAAGTCTCTTAATTTTAAATCCATATTAACATCTGTGGTGTCACAGTTAAGCATGTAACATAATCCTTGGGTTTGGTTCTGAACACTGAAAATATGCAGAGGAAAGAGTACAAGAAAAACAAAAACACTTATTCTACTTTTTTTCAAGGCTATAGTTTGATTAACCATGACTTCATGAACTGTCTTTTTAAAGTATCCAAAAGGTATTAGATGTGGGGGAAAGCATACAAAAGAAAAAGGAATATTAATCCTGTTAACAGAACGTTAATCCTTCCATGTGCTGAGAAAACACAATTACTAGATTACAATAGAAATAATTACTGAAGATACCAGCATAACTAAGGCAGCATTTTTTTTTCCCTACAAAAAGCTAAAAGGTCCCAGTTGAATCCCAAGTGCTATCCATCTTAAGGAAAGTATTCTAAGAACATTACATGCAGGTACCCACTCAAGCAACGAGATTTTGAAATGTCCTTCAGATATCCTTAATGGGAAAAGTTGATTCCTCTATGAGACTGTTAAATCTCAGAACATTCAGTTCAGCACTTAAAGAATGGGACGACACAATTACTCACTACCTCCAAAACAGCTAAGTGAGTTTCTTACCCTCTTATATGATCTTATAGCACAGTCACGGAGAGAAACCAATTTCTGGGCATTTACAGCTTTATTTGAAAGTCTCCTTTCTCTTCTTTCATTTCCCTGATCATTTATTTAGTTTTGCAATAATATGAAAGATATATTCAACAGACGATAGTGTTCCTTAGAATTTAACAATCTCATCCCACAAACCGACACTATGTGCACTGGAAAAGTAGAACTTTGATATAAAAATCTCATCCTAAAAGCAGAATAAGCTCTTTTCTCCTTCTTTAGTCTCATTTTCTTCATTGATGAGCAAATCGTTGTGCAAGGAATTGACAACAGAGAAAACAGAAGAGTCATGCACTCGATTCAGGTATCAGACCCGCATCCTGAATGGCTTAGTGCAAACAACTCCAGCTTAGTCAGATAAAAAAGACTGTTCAGAAGAAATAATTTCACTGTGAGGGCAGTGAGGCACTGGAACAGATTGCCCAGAATAGCTGTAGATGCCTCATCCCTGGAAGTGTTCAAGACCAGGCTGAATGGGACTTTGAGCAACCTGGTCTAGTGGGAGGTGTCCCTTGCCAGGGCAGGGAGGTTGGAGCTAAATAATCTTTAGTCCAACCCGAGAGATGAGAAAAAAATATTACCTTTCCTTTCAGGGAAAACCAAAACAAAGTAAAGGTAAGGATGAGGATATGTTTTCTTCCCTGTAGACACATTAGCAGCATAAAAACTAAAGAACAATAATATTGACAGAACAAGAAATAGACAAGGGAATGTGGCATGAGAATGAATCTCAGATAGAAATCAGGGTCAGGACTGCAGCCATACATAATGAATACATTAAGTGTCTGGACTTTAAAGTCTACATATGTCTTTATGTATTAAGTGTTGTAATAGCACCATTAATATTAAATCTTATCATGTCTTCCCAAGCAAAGTAGCAGCTAATATTGTTGTATATTTTGTTGAGTATTTAAGAAACAAAAACAACTGGGAGAGCTTCAGGATGGTAAGTGGTATCCTTCTAAGTAGTTTATGTTGGCTATTAATCCACCTGACTCTGTTGAACATCATAAATCTAGGTCTTTTTTTGCCAGAGAGAAAGTGGTTCTCTACCAGAGGATGACCATTCTGTAAATTCACAAATGAACACTGGAGCTGCAAATTGTTATTCCCTATCTAAAATGAAGCCAATTTCACCCCCTATTACTTCCCTATTGCTGTGGCAGCACAGGAAATTATGACAGCTCAATATATTGTTCTTGCCTAGAGCTTGACACTAGAGGTTAATAAATAACTTATTTGTCTTTCCTCTCCTGTAACTGGTAATTAAACAATATATTTGCTATAGTTTGCTTAAAGATACTTTGTTTCTTTGGGACATCCATCTAATCTTGCTAATCTTTTCCATATCTATATTTCTGATAGCTATATCAGGCTTTAATTTATTTACAGTTTGTGTAAATAAATAGTCTAGCTTCATACCACTGATTTTTCTTCCTGTGATTTATGCTTACTACACTCATCACAATCATGTCTTTGAAACAATTATCTTTAAAGTTCAGAACTGCAAGAAAAATAAATGAACATACATTGACAACCCAGCTGGGCCAACTCCAGAAAATATACTCAGGAACATTTATTTGAAGAAGAGTAATTTCAATAATATCATATTTGTTGCTCTTCCATGAGTTTTTAAAAGAATTTGAGAATGTAATTATTCGTTTGTAAGAATGTTTATGGAAAATTGTTGAAAATATTCGTGCTAATATTTATTAAGAGGAACACCCAGATAACTCAGGTACATAATTTGACTGTATTTTTGCAGTGTCATACATCAGCAAGTCTAAGTATCATGAGCAGAAATCAGTTAAGAACAGAGAGAATCCATTATGAAAATTTTGCTGCAACTGAAACAATCAGTTAAAGAATCTGATCTAAAAATCTTTATTTAAAACAGAGGAAAAAGTTTGGGAGCAGAGTCTGTGAACTAAAAAATGCTCATCAGGTTTGGTGAATACTCTCACACAGTCTACCTTTTGCAGGGGAAAGCAATACTTTTTACTGGTGCATTGAACTCTTCCCTCCAGTAGCATGGCTTCAAAAGGATTGTAGTGGAGAAACACAGTGTAACAGCCTATAGAGTTCTCCCCTTACCTGGGTGAGCACCTGAGTAGACACCGTTAGCAACTCAATTTTCTCTTCTTCTTCTGGATAGCTCTTAAAGGGCATTTCTAGAAAATCAACATAATTAAAGGTTAAATTTCTTCTCTTACAGCAGACAGCTAAAGCTAATTAACTTGCCTTTCCGGTAACGTTTCATCATCAGCTGGAAAAACAAGAACATAACCACTGAAGAGCTGAAGGATCTTTCCCACAAAACAAACATTCTATATGAAAATGAACTATTCTAATGCTTGTGGAATTAATGAAGGATTTTGAGGCCATTGGGATTTATACAGCCTGCAGTTTGTGCCAACACGACAAAGCCTATCAAAATTCAACTATGTGCCACTTATAAATGGTAGAGCAGAGTTCTGCTGTAGTAATGAAAAGCATTCAGCACCTTGGCTTTTTTGCTTTGGGTGGTTAAGCATATGATAAACAGACATATATTCACAACTTTATGTTTGTGAATATATCATTATGGTGACTGTTAAGACAGAACTAAGATCCTCTCGCTCGGTATAGGTCCTACTCACTGAGCTATGGAAAATATCATATATTTGATGTCGGTACAGGACCTCAGCCATTCCTATCACACTCAGCTGTGCCAGCTACAGACACAATCATTTCACTGGAATGCATTCTCTGTATTGCTTATCACCAACATGTAATATTAGGTTTTAATCAGTCAGTTCATGGCTTTTTACTAAGGTAAGATTTTTTTGGATATTTTCATAAAGTAGATCATAACTGGTGTGCCCAAAAGCCTGAAAGACTTTTTGGAATAATATATTTGGAAAAAAATTGCACTTCTTTTGTATTTTTTAATGTACCACAAGCATCTGAATTGAGTGATTTAAGTATTATGGAATTAGAATTACAAGATTTTCACTCATTTACATCTGTATTATTTTCATCTGCATGTTTGTAAAGCCACATTTAGGGAACATTGCTAACACTGCAATAGCCTGAGGAACATCTTGGCTCAAACTCAGTGTGTAAAAATCCATGAAGTGTTTTGTATACCAAATTGTCTCTTACAAAATCCAGCAATACAGCAACTAAAGAAATGAGGAAATATGTGCCTTGAAAACCCATCAGCAGGTGTCCTTACACAGGGATGTTATAGTACATACTTCATACCATAACCATGTATAGTGAAAACAGAGTATTCAAACATAAAAGCAGAAATGTTTGATGCTGTGACGAAAGGGAAAAAGGACTTCACCGAGAGGTTCAAATTAACAATTCATTTGGACTTCACTCACAGGTCCAATATGCCACTACTGCAGGTTTTATGTGCACAACACGATTACACTATTGCAATTTAAAAGCAGTTTGTGGAATACACTATTACAACCTGCAAGTGATCCTGAAAAGCAACAACACAAACCACAAGCACACTCAGTATTAATAGCTTAAAAGAGTGCACTAATCACGATCTTATTAGCATGCCATATACCATATGTATGTTTCTTAATCACTTACCCTCTCTCTCAGGTAAGTTACCTGGGAAGTTACCTTGTACAGCATCCTGGACAAGGGGGGATGAATCTCCAACAGGCCAGCTGTATTGTTGGAAGATTCCCTATTTTTGTCCCCAAACCTTATGGTTTATATTTCCTGATTCGATGGATAATGCCTGAGTAGATTACACTATCTGGGATATTTGTCTCTGGTGGTGTCATGGCTCCTAAGTTTCTATTGCTAATTTTGTGATGTCTAGCACTCAGAGTCAAGGGAATAGTGGTAAGCTGGGACTCGGGGCATTTTGTTTTTAAGGGAGTTCGTTAAGGCTCCATTCGGGTTTTGATTCTTATTGTGATGCAATCTTGAGACAACCCCGGGCTGAGCTGTTTTGCAGCTCCCCCCAGGTTATCTCTGCATAGAGGAGGCAAGGAGGAGATGAAGCTGAGTGGGATGAGGACTCCTTGCATCTCACCTATTGTGCCCTGAAACCACTTTGGCTGGGTGCTCCTATACAGATGCCCATTGATCACTGATAATTTTTGTAATGTATCACAATTACATAAACACCTGTGCTAAAAAACTTTGCGCTGATAATGACTAAGAGCATGTACAGTGTTCAGTACTGCTCAAAACATATACCTCCCTACTATTCCAAATCCTCTCAGGGTTTTTTTCCCTGCTATTCTCTTCAAGACTGCTAAAATTTCTTTATGGCTATATTCTAGGGTAAACATCCAGATTTTTATAAAAAAGTTACATATATCAGACATTTGAATAGTCCAATTGGCACATCTCCAAATAACTCAGCTGCTAAACTGGCTAAAGGAAAAAATAAATCTTAAGATAATCGTCTTAATCCCTTTCTACTTTTCACCTAGGTTTCAAGAATTTTACTATCATTACTCTCATGAACAGGTTTATTGGATACAACTGCTTGAATTCTAAACTAATTTTACTGGAGCTGGATGATGTTCCCAAATGCTGTCATATCAGAAAAATCTGGTCAGCTTGCTGGCAGGTACCCCCCAGCACAACCAGGCAGCCTGTGGTTACGCTCGGGCTGTTTGGTGCTGTGTTTACAACATACAGCTGCTCGTCAGCCTTGTGGGGTAAAATCCATCCTGCATATTTTCAAGTTAGCAGTATTAAACTGTTTATATCTTCTACAGGCAAAAACCATCACAGCACCTGCTTTGGAACTGCTACATTTTGACATATACTTTGTACTTCTAACCTGTCAGTTGAAAAGATAGTATGATCCTGCAGAGTGAAAAGAGAATATGCCAAGACTTACCAGTATGCAGATAGTTTATTATCTGCTGGAGCAAACAGCTCAGATCAGTAGTTCACACAGATGATGTTCAACAGCTTTATAACAGCCACCCCCCCTCCTCATTCCTTTTACCATAATACAGGTTGTGGCGTTTCAAACACTTGATTCAATCTTAAACAGTTTAGAAAGGTTATCAGAAGTATGTTGTCTGCTTCCTGAGTAAATACTGTGGCCACTATGGCAATTCATAGATAAAGCAACATCCTTTCAATCTTCAGTGATATTTTTTTTTAATGGTTTAGGGTATTTGAAACAGTTCAGTTCTCTGTTTTGCAGAAGGCAACACACTTACTTTAGAAGTATTCCATGGCAATTCAGATAAATTGCTTGGGTACAAATCAGTTGGCTTCAAGATTTTTATTACTTCTTTGTAACTGACTTGACTTTTCTCACTCAGTTATAAACCCCACCAGGTTTAGGTGAGGTTTAGATTATCTGTAGATAACGTCTGTCATCTATAACCTTGACTTCATCACAGAATTGCAAAATGATATGGGGTTGGAAGGGACCTCTGGAGATCATCCAGTCCAACCCCCTGCCAAAGCAGGGCCACCCAGAGCATGTTGCACAGGAACGTGTCCAGGCAGGGTTTGAATGTCTCCAGAGAAGGAGGCTCCCCCACTTCCCTGGGCAGCCTCTGCCAGGGCTCTGCCACCCTCAAAGTAAGGAAGTGCCTCCTCATGTTTAGATGGAACTTCTTATATTCATGTTTGTGCCCATTTCCTCTTGTCCTGTCCCTGGGCACCACTGAAAAAAGACCGGCCCCGTCCTCTTGACACCCTCCCTTTAAGTATTTATAGGCGTTGATCAGATCCCCCTCAGCAAATCCTAAATGCCTGTTGCAAAATACTGATTTCACAGTTGCTGTGTAAGCCTTTAGATAATGTCTCATGCATTGGCATCAAAAGTCCACATTAAGATTTGTCTCAAAAACTGTAGGCAAAACCTGCTGATAATATACGATTTAAGACTGGAACTGTAATAGAAACTTAGTAAGAACTATAAAACCTGCTTGGTTTTTACATGTGACTGCCAACATGACAGAAACCTCTATTTAATATGCCCAGGGAAAAAGCTAAAAATCTGGAATTAAGTTCACAGAAGTTATTCCAATGCGATTTTTTTATTCTATTCCATCTCAGAAATGCTTCTCTATTAATCTTTAATGTCCTGTTGCCTCTTACATTATGGCTTCAGATAATTGGCAACATTAGTTAAAAAGAAATATCTTTCCAGAAGATGAATATAAGTTTTATTTCAGCATATTTTGAAAATCTGGGATTCTGAGAGGGAAAAAAAAAAGTCTGAAACATACTATTCTTTTGAGACTTCTGGTGGCTTATTCATCAAGGAGACAGAAAGGCAATATCATAAAATACCATGCAAGAGTGAAGATTGGATTTTGGCTCTTAGATTTATTATTACAGTAACAGTATTGTGGGTTTTTTCCTTATCTGTACCCAGCATAGCAACTGTCACTAGACGAGTAAGGAGGAACCTGTTCAGAAGCTGGATGAACAGCGAAAAAAGATGTCTTTGCATTTGGTGCAGCATAATGAAAACAAAATTTGTGATATTTATAGGTCAGGAAAACAACGTGTGATCCACCTTGTCAGCACCCCAGCCATGGCAGAGTGCCCTCTGAGTGGTCACCCCCATCCTTACCACCAGGAAACACCACCACATGTATAAATATGAGATGTACAAATAGCCCCTGGCTATTAAAGAATAAATTGATTTGCTATGATTTTATGCAAGATTTGAAAGGCCTACATGGAAAAGCATCACTGTTTTAAAAGCTGGAAGTACTGACTGTGTTATGAGTAGATTTACAACATAAACCACCAACAGTGATTGTGGCCTGTGATCAAAAATCAAGTTGCAGAGCAGGTTTATACTTCCTATGATATGGAGTGTTTTCAGGAAACTGGAACATGTCTGAAGGCTGTTTCTGCCTTGGACTTAGAATTGAAGCACCATGTGGAAGAAGAAACAGTAGAAAAGAAAGCAGAAGGAGAATGCTTTTTTAAGAGAGGACACCTACCTCCTAAACTTTATTTGATTGTTTAAGAACACAGTTTTGGGACTACACATTCATTGTCCAAAGGATGTGTAACCCTGGAACCCTAACATTTTTATAGCCTCCTGCACCACCCCATGTGTGTGAGCTTTATGATCACTTCAATATAAAAAGTGTTGTACTTGTATGGCACTTTCTTCTGAGTAGTTTGACTATAGTCAATAACACCACCTATGGAGGCTGAA